GTCCATCTTCATCAACTTGGCAATGGCCTATGTCATTCAATTTAATGATAGATTAATTAAATACTGTGGTTATAGTTTTTTGTGAGTTCTCTTTGTCTCTTGCATGCCTTCTTCTGGTTTTTGTTTCTTTTGAATGTCTTTGCTTCGTAATCCTGACAATGACGATGGGTTCAGGTCTGAAAGAGGGAAGAAATTTTTTTGTAGATTTTATTATTGCGTGGAACAGTAAAGTGCTGGGAATTGAGAGTTGGATTGAGTTTTTATAGTAGAAAGTTTACAATGTACAAAATGAAGAGAAGTGTTGAATTCATAAAGATATTGGTAGTTCAACAAAGTCAATGATGAATAGAGGGTTGCTAGTAAGTTCTTACCTTATTTTATGTATATATTTTCCATCGGGTGCTGCAAGGTGGAATCTGGTGTTTCGTTTTATTTGAAGGCATCTGGCGATTCTCACTTTTGTTTTGGAAATGGATTCTGGTATCCATTGTAATTGCTACAACAGAAATAAATGTGAAAATTGGTGATTACAGGAGTGTTTTGGAAAAGAGGAATGGGATAGTTTGGAAAAGAACATTAAGGGAGTGGAGGAACGTAACAATACTTGCCTTTGATTTGCTGCCAAGTTCGACGGTAAATGTTTTTGTTATTGTTGGGGAATAGCTGTGGAGAGATGTATATGGGATAAGAAAATTGGGAAATTTTCTGTCACGAAATGAATCTTGAGAAGATAACAGTCCTGAAATTAACTTTTATAAAAAAGCAATGTAGAAGTTTTATCATATGTTTTGCCAGTATTTGCGAGATTGAAAGAGTTTTTAAAGGTAATAAGAATTTATCGCTCACTTTTCTTGATTCACGGCCAAAGGTTGTGTGGTTTAAGACATGGAGCATTGTTGGGTTTCTAAAGATTCGGGTTCGTATTTATACACTTAAGGAATAGGGTGAGTTTAATGGAGATGGGAAATATCAATTTTAATGTTGGCGTTAACTGCAGAAGATATTCGATTGTTGGGGTGTCTTTATGCTCTTGGTATCCGAGGAAGGGATGTTGCTAATGATGTCTGAAGATATTCTTATTGGTGGCCGGATTACTCAGTTGCTGAAGAAGGGCCAGGTTGAGGTTCTTGCGACTCCTCAACTTCAACCATTGAGAGGAGCTCTTCGTTTTTACTTGTGTCGCCCAAATCGGACACCAACTGCTCCTCTCTTTCAAATTCAATTTTTGGGCTTTTCAAAGTCTTTTCAAGGGCAGCAATTCTGGAATCTGTGGACATTAGATGACTCTTCATTCTTTTAAGCTCCCTTTGTTGTTTTTCAACAGGTTTTGGTTGTTCATTAGCGTCTTGATCAATGGACACGAGCATTAGTCTGATACTATTTATCTGGGTTGCTGTTACTTGAAAAAGCTCTGTTGTCTTCATGGCCATCCTGTGGTGAAAGAAACACAGGTAGCAATTGAGTTCCGGAGTATTGATATGCGAAGTTAATGAAGAAATGTTTTTGATGTGGGCTTTGGTTTGATGAAGACTTATAAGGAGTAAGGAGAAATGCAATTTTTAAATCGATATACGCAATAAGGAAGTCAATAGGTACTGAAAAAGTGAAGGTTCATTGCGAAAATGTGCAAATAATAGCAAATAACATGTTGGCAAAAAGATATTCGCTAACTGAAATGTTCAGAAAAAGAATTTTCTTACTTGAAAAAAGTTGAAAATCCGAAATTGTGAAGTAGGTACGAAGGAACGGTTGGATGGGCCTAAATGCAAAGCAAGGATTGTGCACTGAAAATTATTACTTGTAGAGAGAGGAAGGGAATGAATGCATAAAAAATCGAAATTTTCTTTGTTGAAAAAAGAAGGCAATGAGATAAAAATAAAGAAAAATTGTTGAACTTACCGAGTTCCATTTGTGTGAACCTGTTTGGAGATCAATCGATGAAGAATCTGAAATGTCTTTATAGTTATAGGTCTATATATACCTAGCCGAAAGTTTAGAATGTACATTTCATGTCTGTAAAATTAGTAACCCTTATTGTATCATAATGCGTTTGAGGTCTCAATTATTCCTCTATTTCAGAAGTTACTCATGCTTTGTGTATCGTTAAGAAACGCTTTTGTTTGTATAAATAGGCTTGCAGGAAAATTCTTATTTTTAATTGAGAAATTTAAGATATTATGTCTTCTGTTATCATGTGCCTGATGATAATATGTAATTTTGATTTCCATTTAAGGAACGACTTAGGGCGTTTTTTACGTATAAAAGTAATCATAAGAATCATCCCATATCATTGAAAAAGTATTTTTTTAAAGATAAAGTTTTAATTTGCTTTGGAAACGACTAAGGGCGTTTTTTGCTTCATGAAAATGATGTCTAGTAATTTTCATGCCTAAAACAATAGCGGGGTATGCTATGACGCAGCAAGTTTAGCAAGTTCCACTGCAGAGCTTTGCAGAAGGAAAGGTTAATGAGTAACAAAGTACGGCTAACGATCCGCACTGACAATCAGGTTGCTACTTAATGATCTCGCATTGATGATATAGTTGTACTAAGAAGGGAAACATCCTGAATCCTCCGCAACTAAAACAAACTTTCTTGTAAAGTTTAATTTTCGAAAATTTCAGAATTTCTACATCCGTGCTAAGTTCAAACGTATGTTTAGGAGTCCTCAGTGTCCCACCTCGTTATTCCTAATACTGTTTTCTTGTTTTTCCTGTTTTTTAGCTGTTTTTGGTAAGCAAGAGTTAATTAATTAATCAACTTGCCAAAAAGCAATTTCGAAAGACCTTCTTGATAAAAGGGACCTTGAATAACTGAAAGAATTGTTACGTATAAAAGTAATCATAAGAAGCATCCCATATCATTGAAAATTTTTTATAAAGATGAGATTTTCGTGAGCGGTCAATTCTTTGTTCCAGTCTATTAGGGGCGGGATGGTAGGGGCCTGTACCCCCACACGGACCAGATTTGGTTAGTTTTTCCGTTAAGACTGCTCACGTTGATGCTAAAGTGTCCTCTTTAGAAAGAATTTTTTCATTTTAGAAATAATTGTGATTTTCATTTAAATCCAAAGCCCCTTATAAAAATCAGGAAGAATTTTCGACTGTTTGACATTTAATTTTTTCGATCTCACCATGTAAACAAAGATCCCAAAATGTAATGTAACAACTCAAGCTCAAAAGTGAGCCTGATAACCGTGAACGCTTAGTTTAGACAATGAGATCGCATTCTTAATATATATAATGATCAAACTCTTGACGAATCACAGTCGAGCCCGGGCCTTAACACAAAGATTTGTACAGTGGTGTTCTGTACATTACAGTACAGGGCAAAATCGTGATAATCATAACTTTTGCTCGTACCATCTCGAGTTTTTGGGAAAAAGATGTCCAATTCCACTGGTTTTTTCCCAAAATTTCGAATCGAAACTTCCATTCAGAAGGGAGAAGTGAGCCGTGACACAGCATCGTTTTTGTGTCACAAAAATTGATAATGATTCGCAGAGCCTTGGCAAAGCAGGTCTGTAGAGATAATTGCCCTCCGCACAAAGATGTGGTTTTTAACGACCTCAATTACAATGCCTAACACACTTAACGACCTGATGTAACCTTTTCTCTCGAGAGGCAATTAAGTTCGCAAGCAAGACAACTTCCGTCGAAAAAACCTTGTTTCGAGAATTTTTTAAGGAAGGACCGAGAAAAGAAGCAAAATGCCAGAATCCTGTCGACGGACAGGGTCGAATCAAGAAAAGAGCGGGACATTCCAAAGAGTCCTTTAAACTGATTAGACACGAACAGGGGTCAAGTACCTCTGACTGTGATCACTGTTGTTTGCCCCTAATTTGTATAGTAGCATATAAGTACATTGAGAAGTTTGCATATGTGTGTAATTTCTTCATGACGCGCTCTACCATCATCAGCAAATTTGCATAATCCCTCAAAGTCACCATTCTTTTTTATCCAGCTCTGCACTCTGTCAGTCTTTAAGGTTTTTATCAGAGTATCTTTAATTAGCGAATTTTCATGGGATTCTTTATATTTCTTCTGAACCTTCGAAGCAAATGCGAACATCAAAACTATTCGCCCCCAGCTAATTTCATCTTCAAGTACGATATTGTATGTAACAGTGTTTTGCAGAGATTAGTGGGTATCATCATCAAGTGTAGTTATCAGTTTTGTTAAGGTACAAATTGTATATAAATCAGTAATTGCGTTGGTAATTGCCAATGCAGTCGTTGCTTCAATTGTGCTTTCATCATAAACATCACAATCCAAGTCAATCTTTGCAATCTTCTCAATATTTGCATCAGCCATTGTTTGGTGTATATAGAACCGTCGGCTGTAGAGCTCAGATGAAATGAGGATTACAACTCTACATATATAGATATATATGTGTGAGAAGAGAGAACCGCAGGATAGGCTGTCCGCCGGATTCTGTTAATCTTGCAATGAGTGTTGTTATGAAAGATATACAAGAAGAAAGCAATACGACGACGAGAATCTAATGTCACGAAATAAAATTTTCAAAATAAATTAAATTTATAGAATATACCAATATTTGGGCCTGGCATACAGGGCTTCATCAGAGTAAATGAATGAACGAGTGAATGGATTTGAAATGTGAGATGGTGGTGCCGGATTCTGGCATACAGGGCTTCATCAGAGTAAATGAATGAACGAGTGAATGGATTTGAAATGTGAGATGGTGGTGCCGGATTGGTGGATGTTGAATGGTGTGAATGCAGCACAGTGGAGAAAAAATGGGATGATGGAAGTGGGGGAGGGAAGGGTGGTGGGTGATGTAAGGGGATGTGGGTGGTGCTATGGAGATTGATGCAATGAGATGATGATGATGGTGAATATGAGAAAAAAAAATTTGTGATTGAACT